ATTGTTATAAACATCTTAGAAAGCAAAAATTATTTAAAAGGAAATGTGGCAAAAAAAGAGCCTGCCTCTCTTAACTCTAATATTGACAAGTACGTCTTTCCCCTTCTCCACAGCTCCTCCAGCAATCAGTGGAACTATTAATTAACCTGAGGGCAGTCTGTTGCAAGCACAGCAGGATCCATGCAAGGGGGTAGGGGATGAGCTGGTTGGAGGCTGATGAAGATCTGGGCTTGCATTCCAGCAAAGATGTCCACAAAGGCACATGTTTCCCCCTAAGGAGCTATCAGGTCACACTGACGCTGCTGCCTTCTACCATGGGTGTTTTTCAGCCTGTATCAGTCAACCATAGGACACAGCTCTTTTCATACCATCTTCCCAACACAGGGCTGAGGGTCATATGCAAATACTGCCTGTCTGTCAGTGTTCCTAGCTGTGCCTGTGGTGGGTGCTGATTCTCAGGTGAACTACACACCAGTGATTAAACACACTCTCATACCACTGGTGAGCAATCACAGCACACCAGTTTGGACAACCATGTGTTCTCACTGAGCCCTGTTGTACTGTGCAGTAATTAAAAAGTCATGAGTCCTATTTAAATATAGGGCATTCTGTCCTAAACCTCCAAATGCCTGTGGGTGTAAGTAAGCTCACTCTCCGAGGATGTTCCCTGGTTTGTGTACACACACCAGCTTCATCAAAAGGATGGAGGAAATGCCAAATCCAGATATATGAATTGCCCTTTTTTTTTTTTTTAAATACATCACTGATCAGTCCAGGGATGGCAAAATTAATAGTAATGAGCTAATTACTATACCAGCTGCCTACAAAGAGGGGTCCTGTAGGCAGACTCCTTCTGCCCATTTGCCTGCTGGTTAAACCACCACTCTAGAAATTATAAAACAAAACTTTTTTCCCTTTATAAACATCTATCAGCGTCACCTTTATATGGCCCACAGCACCAACACTGCCTGACTTTTAAGTTCTCAAAATCCAGCCAGAATCTCCCCTAGCACATTATAACACATTTTACTGGCTTGAGCAGGGTAAAACACAGCCGCCTTCTCAAACGGATGGCTGCTGAGCTCCAGCAGCCTCTGCACGAGGCCGGGCACACCATCTGTGTGCCCCCCAACGTCCGAAGCCCGTTCACAACTGCCAGCCCTTTGAAAAGCCAGCCTGTTTCTCTGATTGATTCACTTTTTAATGAACTGGGAAAGCCTGTGAACTTAAACCCTGACACCTCCACCTCCCTCCCGTCCTAGCCATCCCTGCAGCAATGTACTGATTATATTTCAAGTTATTATGGGATTAATACAGCTGCCCCCGGTGCCTCTTTCCCCTGAACTTCATCAATAAAAGTTGTGTGCTACTCTTACTCCAGTTAGTTCAGTTTATTCCTGAATCTCTCCCTATAACCTGTGATGTGTCGGTAAGGCTGTATCATATCAGCCCTTCAAAGCTGCCAGCGCTGCCAGCGTTTAAAACCTACTTGTGTCACGGCCTTGCATAAGCTTTGTGTATTTAAGAGGACATCTTGAGCTTTGCTATGCACTGTATCAGCTCTGTAAGTGGGTAGCACATACTTAGCACTATTAAAAATAATGAAATAAGATAATCCACCAAAAAATTAAATAGATTGTGCCACTGTCATCTTTCTTTGAATTCACAGTAGAGCTATAAAAAAATACTCTACACAGACAAGTTCAGTAGAAGAAAAAAAAAGGATGGGGGGAGCAAAAGATTTGGGCCAGCATAATCCAGTTTTTCACCAACAGCATGTCTTTATACAGTACAAGCTTTAGGTCTACTTTTTTTGTTGGTGTTATAGGTTGGGTTTTTTTCCCCCCCAGAATCCTATTTTCTAAAAACATCATTAAAAATTTAATTAACTGGCTTATTCTTTGGAAAGTCTGCAATTGTTTACAAAAGAATTGCCACACAAGCTGCCACCTTCGACTGTGTTGAAGCAGGAAGTTATGCTCTTGTTTACAACTGTGCATCAATTCCACAATATATTTAGTTTTGGTACAAGTTACATATAAAAGTCTTACTGAGCTTAATGTTGCAGCAAATAACACATATAGTAAGCAAGTAGGATTTATCACTGGCTATAATGTCATAGCACATATCCTAAATATATATGGTGAATGATATATACACATACACATGCAAACAAAATGGTAATATATTTAGTTTAAGAAGTGATGAATTGTGCTTGCTTTCATTATTGTCATTTTGTGTGCAGGAGAACGGAGATCAAGCACATCCATACAAAGGGCGGCTGGTTGGGATGGCATCCTTTAAGCAGCATAGTCACCCATGAGCAGGTTAGAGAAGAAACGGCACTTTGCTACCCATGACATGAGACAGGTAGTCCCCTCAGGAGTGAGGGACCCAGTGTGGATGGTGGGATACAAATAAATTCCATGGACTCCCAAGATGCTCCCAAAAAGCACAAAACATCTATCCAGCTAAAACACTTCCCCAAGATGTTTTATTCAAGCTTTTTTCTTAAAGAAGGAAGTGGCAATTTTCTCTTTTAAATTCAGTTTCCCCCCCTCCTTGGTCTCTCCCATAAACACAGAGGCCAGAAGGCTATGCTTAAATAATTCATCTACAAATTTGCAATATCTTTTTGAACTATAGCAATTAAACGGAAAATAGAAAAATCAGCTCAGCATCCTGTTTGGATGTAATTAAAGGTATAATCTGTTCCATTTGAATACTTCAGTGCTTACCCTTCTTAAAACAACAAATAAGAATAGTAGCTCATTTGCAATATGGTTTTTTTCAAGTCAGCTAAAAAGACTAACTGATGAAGCAAGAATAATAATTTTTAAATGTGGCATAAGCACAAAAATACCAACTACAGCTTTTGAATGATTGCTGCAGATCTCGTCTGATCAGAGTTCAGTAACAAGGGGTATAAGCTTTATGGCAAAACACTGAAGTCTTCCACTATTTGGTATCAGCATCTCGATATGGCTGATATAATTACCTATCAAATACATCAGTGGAATGCATATCAGAGGATATCCAAAAATATGTAAGTGGGATGCATATCAGCTCAGTATTTTAGGCACTGTTTGATCTTAAGGCTTTTTTCTCAGAATAAAAGACAAATACCGCATTTGTTGCCCTTTTGTTTTCTATAAGCAACTGAAGATTTTACAGCACAATAAAGTTAGCCTATTAATGGCTGGCTTATGAGTTTTAGCTGGATTTTTACCCTCCTGCTGGACATTTCTTCACTGCTCAAAGAAATTGAAGTCAGGTGTAAAGTTAATATCTGCCTTGTTCATTTATTCATATTGTAAGCAATCAAGATTTCCCCAAATCACAGGGCAATCTCTTGCCTTTCGAGAATTAATATAGGCCCCGTTCTCTCAATTTAGTTTAACAAAACAACTGGCATAAGTTCAATGGAAGCGATGATTATTCTGAGAGGTTATGGCGAACCACAGAAGTTGTTAGCAAGAAGTTTGCTTGTAAGATCCCCTAAGAGGAAAAGTATATGGATATTTCAAAATGTAATTAACAGCATATCCTAACGATGTGAGAAAGAAACATCCTCTGGTTTAGCTGCAGAGGAACCTGGCTGCAAAGGGAGAGCTTTGGCTTGCCCAGCAGGCACTACTCCCTTAAGAGCAAAGGACAGGCTGAGCACCAGAGGGGACCACTCACTGCTGTTGAGAAAGGCACCGGGGCAGGCTCTGTCCATGGGGGCTCCTTTCATGCAACCAATCTCCCTGTGCTCAGCAGCACAGCTCCCTCATCACGGGCATTTCACTGGGTCCAGGACCCAACCAGAAAGAATAACTTTTTTTTCAAAATATCAATTTTCTCTCCACTGTACTCTCTCAAAAAAAATTCTTTTGGGGCAGGAATGTCTCAGGCCCCCTTTTGGTCTTAATGCTATGGTTTGTGTGACTGTTTCAACAAAATTGTTGAGGTTTTCTTGGGTTTGTTTGGGTTTTTTAAAGTTAAATATGTAGCAGTGAATAAGAACAATTCTAAAAAGCAAAATGCTCTATTTTTTAAACATTTTGATCATTAAAAAAAATTTCGATTTTCAAGCTCAGCATTTGTAAGCTGAGGTGAATAATGTAGCAGAGAACCAATTTAAATGGATAAAATGATCACAAAAATGTATGAGCAATATTACACATGGGAACAAAATGACACAATGGTCTACAAGGCCTCTATTACAACAGTGAGTATGAGAGAAGTTTAAATTTGTTGAAAGTTAGCACCTATTAAAATTTCCAGCCTTCCTGGGGGCACATGCCTTGCTGTTTGAAAGCCCAGGCTCTTTTCAGGACCAGTCCTTCAGGGGCATGAACCCCACATAGTTTTTCTCAAGCATCGCCCTCCTGTGGGGCCTTCAATGGACAACATAGACGTGAGTGGGGCAAAAAAAGCCGGAAGGGAGCCACCAAGCAGGACTAAGGCTTACACACCCAGCTACCACCTTACAGCCGATTGCCTCCCCTGAGCTGTGTAGCCTCCTGCATGCCCAAAACATTTCTGTGAACTTAACGCTAGAACTGTTGTTAAAAGAAACATAACAACAGAATTTGACTTGCTAAAAATACCCACAGAAGATGAGGGGAAAAAAATCCCCCAACACAGTAGCATCTGTCTCCAGTAAGCAGGACTTTTTTCAGGTCTTGGGCTTAGACATTAAGACCACTCTGTCTTGGGTGAATGAATTACTGACTGTCAGCTGGGCCATTTTCACTGAGGTTTAAGCACAGGCATTTTACCTGCCATTTGCCAGGAGCCCAAAGCCTGCACAGCTGGCATGTATCATGTTGTATCGTATCGTATTATATCGTATGGTGCAGTATGGTACGGCTGCTCAGCCGGTGGCACACGGGTGTTTGTTACCCATGTGCCACTGGGTGTTTGTTACCCATGTGCCACCTGACACAGCAGGGGCCTCTGGTGGTCTAGTGGTTAGGGTGCAGGACTCTCACCGCTGTGACCCGGGTTCGATTCCCAGCCCCCTGGGCAGATGGGGCTCGTCAGCCTTGTAAGGCAATCCATCTAAGAGAAGGTCACTCTAAACAAACCTACGTCCTGGGGACCTCACTGCCACTGTCCAAGCTTGCTCGGCCCCGGCAGATGAACCTCAGGATTAAAGGGTGGGCTCAGTTCAGCGCACGCTGTGTCTCACCTAAAAAAATCCACTGCGCAGGCTCGAAGGGTTAATGACCTTTCCCAAATCTTCGCTCACGAAGACTGGTCATTATTATTATTATTATTACCTGACACAGCAGTTTGCCCTGCAGCAATCACCTACCCCATGGGTCACACTCCAGGACTAGGACCCAAGCCATTTCACTCCTATAAGGAACGTCTCTTAGAGACAAGAACCTGTGTCTAAATGAAGCAATGCTTATCTCATGCATACCACAGGTGTGATGTCATCCCCTCTGGCAGAGGAACCAGGATGTCTACAGCCTCCACTGTACAAAAATGCAGGAACTAAAGTTAACATCTCAGACTTCGTTAAAATGTGGTGATAATTAAGAAATACAATTACCACTACAAAGTTAATTCCTCTTTGAGTTCTTACAAACAAGTTTTTAATTTGCACCAAAAATTTACATTTCAGATTTCAAGTCAACCATGAATGGTACAAGCTTGGCCAGGGACTTCAGGAAGTGGCTGGTAGGCTCTGCAAGGCTTGGGGGCAGGAGCACTGTGGCTTCCCAGGAATGTCACAGGCAAACAGTCACCAGCAAACCCTAGTGCACACAGGTAAGCCGATGGGATTGCTTTAAACTGTCTCATCTGTTGTACAAGTGTGAAAATAATCGCCGTGTCAGATAAACTTTTGCTTTTTATTAAAAGACAAAAACCACCAAACTTATAAGGTAATTGATTGCTTTCTTCTAGTCTTTTATTAGTTGTGATTAAGGAGCTATAGTAGTCCTGTTTACACCGCTCTAACAAGTCAGGACCTGCAGTACGTTATTGGCTTGCGGCCCACAACTTGCTGTCCATTCTCAACAGAATCAATCTGAAGTTGAAAACATCCCCTGTAGGAAGCGTACACATCCCTGCTCATACAGGAACAGAAACAGTAATAACTTCAGGTCCTGTAAGTTGCAAGTTCAACTTACAGAGATCAGCCCTGACTTGTCATTGCTCTCAGCATGTTCGTGATGAGATCAGAGCACTTCACAAAGGACTCACACTTCCAGCTTGACAAGGGACAGAGGTGAGCGTGTTACACTTCCCTGTTACTCGCCACTCACTGCAGCAATGAATCGAGAGCTCCTCGCTGTTTAACATGCAGTCAAAGCACTGCCAATCTAAAATGGCTGATCAGTAATACTTTAATTGCAGTTTCATAGAAACAAATTGCTATTTAATTGCAATAAGCTTGTCTGTGGCTTAGCTGGACTGACAATAGGCATCCACCTGGTAGTAACAGTAACAAGCAGCAACAAGGGTTATCTGGTAATGCACACACAGGAGGCTCTGGCAGAGCCATCAGACCCAGAACACATAATTTCCCACTGAATGAATATAATACTTAAAAAAAAATTATATACATAAAATGTTCTAATCTCAATTTTATCTGTTATTTTAGTAGAGCTGTTCAGAATGTAGACAATTGCAAAAAGCCTCACCCTTGACATACAACTACCAGCCAAATAATTTGATAAAAAATTTAAATTTAAATGATCTTTTGAAATCACAGAATCAGGTTGGAAAAGACCTCTGCGATCATCAAATCCAACCTATGACCTAACACCACCACCATGTCAACTAGGTCATGGCACTGAGTGCCACATCCAGTCTTTCCTTAAAATATATTAAGGGACAGTGACTCCACCCCCTTGATAGCCAAGGCATACTGTGCCAGTATCTGAGTTGTTTGTTTGGTTGGTTTTTTTTAGTATTTACCCTAATATTAGATGATGCAAATTTTATCAGGGTTAACTAACAGGAAAAAAGGGAGACAAACTCAGTGTGGTTAATATTCTAAAGATGTGACTTAATTTCATAGGCTTCATTTTGGTAAGACATTCTCATTTTATATTTCATAAGATACTGCATAACCTGTTAAAATATTTAAAGATAAATCATGTAGGACTGAAAAGACAGTATCTTGTTGCAAACAGAATTTGGTTTGGAAAGGCTTAATGTCCCAGTGCCTGCCAGGATGCGTAAATCTCATAACTAGACAGCTGGATAGGTAAAAACATTAAACCCATTTAGAGGGCAATCTTTTTACAAAATTGTTTCATTAATAAGAGTGACAATTTATATGATTGAGACGTTTAGATGCAGTATAGACAGAGCATTTTATCCAGGTTCAGGAGGATGATTTCAGATTAGTAGTATTTCCTTTGATTCTTTTTTTAACGTTCATTTTTGAAAGCAAGAGAAGCTCTTACTGAATGATTATTTGTATGACTTTTCAGCAGCACTAAATGCAGAGGGTGTATTTCAGCCTCAGTGCAGCAAATACACGTGATAAAAGGTGAACAAGTACATGTTTTTCTTTACAGATCTCCTAAAAAAAAAGTGATTTTTCACATAAGGACAAATCTAAGTGTTTCCAGTAGCCTTCTCTCCACACCTACCATCCCCATTAGAGCCTGTTTTATTGTCTGAAATGCCTCTGGTTTCAAGAAAGTGTTTTACCTAAAGCAAGAATACTACTTAAATATGTTCTATTGTATATTCATAGCTCCATTAGTCCTCCTCCAATTTAGCACATCAAAGCAAAGGCTTCATCACTTGCATGTGGATTATGCTAACATGAGTGACATTTGTAATCTTATAGGTCTGCAACTTAAGAAATGCTTTTAAAGTAAGCTATTAAATAGGTAGCTGTGCTTTACAAATGAGTCATATAATAGTTTATTTAAAGCTGTTAACGAACTTCAACCTCTACATCACTAAATGCAATACTACATTACTTACTAGAAGTTATTAGCTATCTTCTTAGCACTTCTAGGTTATACTGGACAACCAAAAATCTGTACATGTTAGATTTAAACACTGTACCTTGAGTGCTTATAGTGAAAGAATAGAAAAAGATGTCTACAGTCTACTTGAATTCTATATTCGTATGACTTCAACTGTCTTTTCAAAGATATTGAAGCAGCACAATTTGCAGGACTAGCTGAAGACCTTAATGCCAGATCAAAAAGCTTAGAAACTTATTTAAAATACACATTAGGTGCATTTAATTAAAAAAGTCAGTCAATCATTTATGTTGCGCTTTTTATGTTATGCAAGTACTCTTTTGTCTGTACTGTCTGATATTGCACATTACTGCATTTTCTTTTCTCTGAAACAGTGCTTCTTCCTCAAGCACTGAAGTGTTAAAAGAAGAAATTCAGCAGCCCACCAACATACTAGAGGTCATGAAGTAGAATTTGAAACAAAAATATCTGCTGTCGGTTGTTTAGATAGACAAATCTATAAATCAGCTTTTTTGTGTATTGGCATCACAACAAAAGTAAGTCAAGCTCACTCTGTAACCCAGCATGCTGAGCAGTGAACATCTTCTCAAAAACAGAATTAAAAAAGATAACATAATGATGTGTTCCAACTGTATTAGTTTCCTATAAAAGTAGAGTAGTTGTCAATATTGATTTGCTATTAATTGCAGGAGAGGCACGCTTGGTGCTTGCAGTTTCCTGACTGAAGGCATACAAGGTACAGCCATAGATCCATGTTAAGATTCTTGCTAAAAACATGAAGTGTCAGATTTTTTTTCCTCAAAATTATTCTGCACAGCTCTACCACCAAGCAGCTGATGGGAAAAACACAAAAAATGAAGTTGGTCCCTTTCTAAGCTTAGAGGTGGCTTTGTTGCTTTGTGGGGAGGTGAGTTTTATTTGTTTGCTTTCAGAGAACAGATCATATTTGAGATCAGCCAGTTCTCAGAAATAGCCCAGGAAACATGTTTTTCTTTCCTTAAGATTATCAGTGTTGCAAAGTTAAGTCTCTTACCACAGCAAACACAACTTTATGTTGTTCAGATCAGAATAGCTATTGTATTCCTTTTCATGAATACTCAATTCTAGTGCTCAGCATGAGGTACAAACCTTTCTCTGGTTTTTATTTTTTGACCTCTTATGGTATATACATACCCTCTCGTGCTTGCACGCTCAGAGACAAATGCACACCCTTAACACAAGTGATTCTGAAGGAAGGAACTGAATAGAAAGATACCACAGTACCCATGTGTGTACTGAATTCACTGCAATGTGAATTACAATATACTTGCTGTACCAGAATTAAGAATCTCCATGAAAAATAAATTTGAAATAGTGCTCTGTATCTTTGCCAAAGGTAGCACGATCAAGTAGTTTAACGTATTCTTTACTGGCATAAGAAAAAAAAATCCAAACCAAAAAGCTACTTTTAAAGGTAATTGACAATTAAGGTAACAACTATGTAAGACAGAGTTGTGGAATAATGTTTTGAATGTAATTTAAAAACAAAAAAAAGGCAAAGCTTCTAAAACCCATACTCAATTTTGTTTGTTTTACTTTTTATTATTTAAATACACCATACTAGAGCAAATGTCTCTGAAAATATCACAAATAAAAGATTTTTCTTCATTCAGCAAATTAGAAGTAGGTGAAAATTTCTACACAGTAGCTGCTATGAGCCTGACTTTTTTTTTTTTTTTTTTGCCATGGGAAGTAGCAACATTAGGACAAAAACACTTACATGCATACATACATTGTATTTTACAGAGATACAATAAAAGTGTTTGTGATAGAATATCACAAAAGCCACATCTTTATCTCATGTTCAGTTTGATTGAAACACATTTCCTTACAACACTTAAATATACAAAGAGCAAATAGAATGTTGTTAAGGTAAAACACAGGGTACAAACTGGCCAGTGCCCTGCTAATTGTTAATGAGGGTAGAAAGCAGATTTCAATGCTTCTTTTAATTAGCTTCATTAGTCATCTTCCCCACCCACCCCCCCAAAGATGTCCTCCGGTGGATCTTTTTTCATTTTCTCTACAGTCTCCCATTAGCCCAGGTTCATGGAGTCCTTAATGTTCATATTCAGTCATTTTAATACACCAATAAATGTGGGAAGGGCAATCAAGAATAAAGAAGGTGCAATGGTATGGAGCTGGCATTGATGCTAGCTACAAAGGTGACTTGTCTACTTGGAGACATGGGATCCATCTGTGATGAACAAAATTTGAGATGAAGGCACGCATTCTGCATTACTCTGACCTTTTAGCAGACCTGTAAGAAATAAAAATGGGTATCTTAGCTAAATTTGAGATAGGAAACTACAACATGACTGCTTTTGTCTTTTCCTTATTCACTAATCTCTTTTTTATTAGACTACTTTCCAACTGTGACTTGATTAAGGCTTTCTACGCTATCCATTCACACTGCTAATGTTTCAACTTCAAATAGCAAAAAGTAAACATTTTCCACAGTTTCACTACTAAAAAAAAGCAGACGGGAAAAAAAGAGTCTACAACAAGAAAGTGTACTTTCTGGTAACAAATTGTACAGTGAATAAGGTGGTTTTTCTGGGCCCCCTTTAAAAGGGAAGAACCATTATGCAATGCCTTTGAAGAAGCAAGTAATATGATCTTATAATTGGAAGAAATAGTGTGTAAAGCAAATACAAAGTACAGCCAATATCCTCCCAAGGCAACTTCGGCTAATATGCTGCATTGCACAAGAGCTAAATATAGATATTTCAAGATTTCCCCCCCATTTAAATTCCTCATCTGGTGCGTTAGTTAATGTTACATAAACATTTTAATATATGAAGTCAAACATGTGCTTTCACACTGGTGTTAATGAATTGTGATAATTAAAAGTGTCTAACTCAATAAAAATCTAAACTTTCATGGGTAAAATAGAAATGATCATCCATAGTCTTCAAATACAATCTGTTTGCAATTACCAAAATGAAATAATATATATTAGATTTTTATGGCTTTTAAATGACATTTTGCGCTTCCCAGGAAGTTCTTTTTCCAGCCCTTCTCTAAGTTACTAAAAGCCCGAGGTCTATTAGTAACTGCAACCCCCCACTTTCAAGCTAATTAAAGTAGTAGAGGCTTGGAGGTTTAATTCCCCAGAGCTGAAGCTCAGTGTGAGAAAGGTAATTTGTCTGTCCAGAACAAAGATTAGGGAGCAGCCAGCAAGCATATTTAATAAATGAGCATCAAATATCTTCTACTATGGACACAGACAACACCAATTATGTAACTACAAGGGAATTGTTGAGTGATATGTAAACTAGGAGATTTTTAAGATCTTCTCAAAGAGACGTAATATAACTCATACTTTATTTAAAAGTACAGAAGCTGAAGGCAAGCATTTGTTATGAACACTGCCAACTGGTGGAAAATTTACACTTTTAGTAGGTGGTAATACTGTTGCAAACACGAAATACTAGAGGAATACTATGAGTACCAAAAAAAGCATAGAGAATTCTTGACAATACAGCCCCTTCAAATGAAACAGCACACAGGACATCACAAACCAAGTTTTCACCCTGCAGGCAAGCAGTACCAAGTTTAGAGAAAACAGGGTTTTTTCCAAACTACACGGCAAGTAATGGGAAGTTATAATATAACGTGTGAATTGCCTCAGGAAGGAAAAAGGTGGGAATGGCCAACATCAGGGCATTTGCCTCCTTAAAAAGAAGAGCAAGTTTTTAAACCATGTTAGGCCACGGAACCCTTTCTGCCTGCACCAGTCACCTGTAAATTGTATTAAGACAATAGTAACTTCATAACTGTCACCTTCACGTGCACAATGAAAATAGGTTTTAATGCTGGGAGATTTCTTTGGTTAAATAAAAAACCCGTGGATATTCTGCTATGTCTATAATCTCTGGTGGTAAAATAACCCGGAGACTGAATTGATCTTTAATGCTTAATAAAAAGTATCTGTTACAGTCAATTCTGTTACAGTGGAAGAACATTTTTAATCAGCGGCCCTAAAACATGCAGCTTTCTGGAAAACATCTCTGATGTTATAACCTTTAGACTGTTAAAAAAGCAAAATACAAAGCACAACTCTCTTGGCACCTGCCCCTGTAGCTTCCAAAGTTCTAGAAACCTGACAAATCCATGAATTGTCTCCTCAGCTGTATTTCAGTTTTCTGGGGCTTGGGTGCTCTGCAATTCCCTATGAAAACCAGAAGGAGAACTTCGACCAATTTCTAGAGAAATTGTATTATAAAGAAAAAAACCCTCAAACAATAATCTCTCCCCTCAATCTTCTCCCTAATACCTGCTCATCTGCCTCGGCAGTGACTGCAGCAACACCGTTAACAGGCAGTGACAGGAACTAATAAAAACCCGTTCTCACTATTTCCTCTGCATTTAGCTTCTACCAGGTGCCTACAGTCAGGAGCTCTGCAAGCCCAATCCAGTTTCACTTCTCTTTTCCATGTTCTATGTTGCTCATCGTGTCTACTGCTTGTATTGCAACTAAATCATTTTTATGTTTTGCTAAGGCATAGTAAGAAACTGATAAAACTAAATGACAATTTAGACACCTATTTGAAGTTACATTAAACTTTACATTCGTAGAAGACAAGTGGATAAACCACTCTCAGAATGGCGAACCTTTTACTGCAGTGTATAAAGATGAATGGTTTTACCTATATTTTGAAATGGGATACCTATAAATATTCATTTAACAGAATCACTGCTAGCTAGTCTATATTACAGATTTGTTTCATTAAAATTCACAACAGTATAAATCTATGAATCTTTAACTGTATTTGTACTTCCTTGAGATGAGGCTGAACATTTTCCTCCAGTCTTAATTATCTTTGTTCTGCCTAACTATATAGCATTTTTGTCCTCAACTCTCTCATCACCTCGATTGACAAATTAAGTAAACAAAAAAGGTCCACGTTTTATTTTGATGTAATTACATTCACTGTATAAGATTTGAAAGAATACTTAAAATTAATCAGTAAATTTATGCACAGAAAAAAAAAGCAAACACGGATATTGAAATGTAGCAACATAACAAAAAAAAAATCATGTAACTTGAAGTTTCTGTTTTCTCAGACATATTTTTCCACTGACTAAAAGCATATAAAATATACTGTATACTAAAGAATACATCAGCCTAGCATTTGTCTCAGATTTTTTTTAATCTTCCAAATTCCTACTTGCAGATAAATGTTATTTTTTGTGATCCTTACAGACATTAATGAAGTTCCTATTGTAAATCTATAAAGAATTACCAACTGAAGTGTGCACTTTTTGTTTCATTGCAATAACTCAGTGCTGTGTGATTGCCTGGGTTAATGATGAAAAAGTCAAATATACTATCAGAGCTGATGGAAAAATCTATCACCAATCTGAAATTAAAATTCATCTGTGGTCAATAAGATTTAATATCCATGCAAGTGGCGCTGTAAAGAGTAAATGAATCAATGTCATCAATACATAATCAGTATGAAATATGATGTGAATAAAATTATGTGCAAGAGTCATACATCCACTCTTTTCTGGACCAGGGTGGAATGAACAGTCTCTTAACTCAAGGTTGACAGTAATTGTTACAAATTAGGCACAGCAGTTATCAAAATGCACTCACTTGCATAGCTTTAGGACTTATTAAGGAGATTAAAATAGATCTAAAACTATCTAGTTTCAGAGTTACAAGACAACTGTTGATCAGAAATTTTTTTCTTCTTCTTCGCTATATGATTTGTACAGTCATTATTTACTCATTTAGCTAGAAACCAAGAGCTATCAACCACAGAGATATACAATCTCTAGTTGAGCTATTAGTGTTACGGAGCGATAAGAAAATAGCATTTTGATTTTTAAATCTGAGTTATGACATACAAACCAGACAAGAAAATACTTCTGAAAGAGTATCCCAGCATGCTTCCTCAACTAAAATCTTAGTAATTAGGTAAAATACATTGACTTAGTCCAGGAACCTTCTCTTTACAAGATATTTATTTCCATATTAAAGGATCTAATTTTCCTCCCTCAGAAACCTGCTCTCTTGTAGCCCTTAATTTCAAGATTATAAAATAAAATACTTCTCTTTCTTAGGAGTTTGTATTAATGTATGCTCTCCATTTCGCTTTGTACATAAGGAGTTCAACAGCTGTACAGATGCACGTGCACAAACCAAAATAAATTGACTCACCCTACATGCCATATTTAAAAGGTTAGTTATTTTCTCCCCACACCCTGTGCCTAAATAACTTAAGGCAAGTTCAGCTACTTAAAGGTCTCCTTGCAGGGGTGGGGAATGTCCACTATTAGAATGAAAAGAAATTGATCTTCATTTAGCTCTAAGAAAGCTTATTAGTAATTGTGGAGTATTCACCTTCTGGTCTGGCAGTAGTGGATTACTCTGAAGTGAATTCAAATGGCCATTGATGAGAGCTGTAGGTCTATCATGTTCACAAAATAAACTGCCATTGATGTAGTGAAACCGATCTCCGGGGACCAGGCGATTCCGGCAGGTAGAGCATGTAAAACACTGAAAAAGGAAAGAGACAGCAAGTGAAACTACAGCACAAATTAAGTATGCTGCAGGTTTGAAAATTACACTTCAGAGACTGCAAGTACAGCTGAGATATGGAGCTGCTTGGTTTCTAGTTCTCCAAATATGGCATTAGTCTTACCTGTTGGGACTATGCAGTACATAACTCACGTATAGTTTTACCGATTATGAGGGAACAAAGCTACACACTAAGGAAAGCTTTATAATAGATACTCATATTTCTAGTTATTGTTTTGCATTTCATTCATAAGCAGATGCAGATTTTACAGTAAAGAAGCACAGCAGTACTAATCAGCTACTAAAAAAAATATACAGCAAAACCCCTCACCTTAAGATGATAGACGTTGCCCTGTGCCCTCATGACCAGCTCACTAGCAGGAATGGACTGTCCACAGGCACTGCAAGCACCACTGTTTCCAAATAACCTGAAACAGAGGTGATGATCGTGAATAATTTAATACACAGAAGACTCTCAGCATTTTTGCACATCACTGCCATGGTTTATTACACAACTATTTTAGACTTCTGACCCCCATCTTCCAACTTGCTTACGTGTCATAATATGAAAAAGTATATTTTTGTGTAACTACTGGCAGCTTCACCCTACCTTGGATGTGGTTACAGAGGATTTAATCAGAAATATTGACTTACACCTCTAGAAACACAAACAATTCTGTACTACACACATTTTATCAGATTACTGGGTTCATCATAAAAAAAAAGATACAATTCATGACTGGAGTTTAAATGCATTGTGTCCTTGAAATTATATGAAGAACTCTTTTGTACTTTAATCATATCTTGAGATATGAGTCATCAAAAGGGTTAAGAGGATTTGATTGTATATCTAAGAAGACATCATGCTCAGTGTATTGAAACTCCAGTAAACCTCCATCAGTGCAGAGTTTCCATTAGAAACTCTCTGCTATCCAGGTTGATATATAATGTGTATGGGTTAACCTTTTCAATCATGGTGTCAACACTTTAGATTTGCCTCTGCTCATCTCTTTCATCCTAACCTTCTCTCTCTCTTGATAATGAAATGCTTGCTCCAACTTCCCTCTATCTGCTCCTGAGTCCACAATTTAGATTACTTCATCTCTGCTAGCAACAAACTGAATGAAATTTCGATTTGAGCAGAAAGTAATTTACCGGGATCTGGACCCATTTGTCATCATATCTCTCTGGGTGTTTGCTGTATCACTGCAGTTTTCCTATGCAATCAAATGAGACCACAACATCTGCCATTGGGGGGGGCACACGCAGTGGGGGGAAGGGGGAATAGGCAGAAGAGTGGTGAAGAAAAATATATACATAATTCTTCAAATCTATTTAAAGGCACAACGCATCGATTCAAAATATAATACAATAATGATTATTGAGTTCTACTTTCACAGGCTGTGTTAGCTAGAATTAGAAAAACCTTTATTTGCTTTTGCGCAAGTCTCTAATAGACACAAATATTTATAAAGACTACCACAATTCATTTCACAGTAAAAAAAGGAAACTGAACTAGCTGGCAGGGTCACAGACCCACTTTTCTGCACGATGGAAAACATAGTAATAGGATTTACAAATTAGTGTATTGGTGTCATAATAAATATTAATATTTGCATCTCCTTCCTGTCCAAATAAAGTCATAAAATTCTGTTTGTGTCAACCTAGGACACACATTACAACAGAATACCCGTAATCTGAATGATTGCAGTGTGCCTCTGTATAAAAATAATTGCTTTGAATTTTCAGAATCTGAGCTTACAGAGGAGGCTTGTCATGTTCAAACTACTAATTTGCTGTCGCCACTTTATTGAAAATAGCCTGTAAGTTGTTATTAAATGTATCGACTGAACGACAGAGAGAGTAGTAAAACTGCCCCTTAAGATGGCTTTTAATAGGAAGCTGAGAAACAAATTTTGCAGCAGAATCGATTTGAAGAGTTCAATCAAAACTCCATTTCAAAACTAATTAGTCTGAGATCCACGACACATTGACACATTCTTGCAGAATCACAGTGGTTACAAAGGGAAAGCTGAACTAATATATTGTCAGGACCTCCCACCAAAGGGACTAAACTGTCTGGAAACTAAAGGTCCATTATTAGGGCATCTTCCAAAACGGGACCAGTTCCGAGTAGTTACATGATGTATCAAGGTTACTTTCAAAGCTTTGCAATATGCATTTTTCTTCCTTCATTGTTACTCGTAACCAAGTTGGCACTAGAAAAGGTGCACTGGAAGGGCTTCGAGAGGAGGCAGCAAGGCACTCTTGCATTTCTAGAGCAAAGACGCAAAACTCTAGGGTAAGGGGGCACTGCCGGCTAGAGACAGGAAGAAAGGCAAAGATGGACAGACAATCTAAGTTGTCCAGGAGAATCTGAGCCTGGTGAGCAGTCTCTCACAACCCCCCTGTACAACTGCAGCACCCAACTGCAAACACAGCTTTCGGAATGCTGATCTCATTGCACTACTTGTCTTCATTAAGCATTCATTGTTATACTATTCTCTCTGAACTAAAAGTGGTTGAATGTCTGTGAATTCTAATAAACAGAGTCAAACTAATCCAGAGGCTTTCCACACATCCTAGGTTTTCCCCAGGCATGTTTCCAGCACAATTCTGGTTTGGGAAGCCACTTCGGCTGAATATTCTGCTAAAAGTCCTAAAAATTACTTACAAACTCAGAACACCTTTTCACTTCTTTGTATTATTTACCAGGAAAATTAAGCTTATTTTTCCTTCTCTACTGTTATGAATGGTTTTATTCTGTAATACCATTAACAGGAAAAAGGTTTTATCTTTAAAAAAATTGTTATTCCTCCTTACCAGTAAAGGAAGTCTTCCATAGTAACTATTCTTTACTGAAAAAGTTGTTTCACATGGTTTCTGGGAGGCTGGAGAGCTAATTATCTAACCAGGGGGACTGTCCAGGACAGTATTTGATTTAAAAGGCTTGAGGCTTTAGGTGCTCAATTAAGTAGCTATTGGTCTCAGACTGGACTTTAATGGGCTCTTTTCTCTTTAACTGCAGCAATGGGTAGAGATACCCCAGGTCAGGCTAATTAAAGCCAGGGGACTCTTTAATTGTGATGACAGAATTGGTTTCAGTTTCCTCTTTGGGTCCTCAGTCCAAGAAGGTCATTAATATTTCAACATTTGGGCAATGCAATCAATCACAAACATCAAGAGGTTCCCTGTACGGACAAGGCAGCTCTTCTACACTTGGCAGCATTTTACTGAGCCACCTTAAATTAACTACTGTGTGCTTCCAACACAGCATTCCCCACACCCCCAAACACAGAAATGCTCCTCATTTTTTTACTTGGTGGGGATTTTTTGGGTGGGTTTTTTTCAGAACTTTCTGTGCAAGAGTGGGAATGAAGGCAGTGAGAAGCCTTTTCAGCCCAGTTTCCCGTCTTGCTGCTCAAAATTCAGCATCAGCAGAAACACATCTCTGGCAACTTGTACTAGCAAAATAAGGTTCCAGTGCTTTCCAAAATCGTGGAGACAGATTTAAGCACTCTGATTCTTGCACGACATGGTGCACATTTGTGCCCATAAACATATATCCAAGCCCTAGCAAAGAGAAATGCACATCCAGACCTACTGATCCAGAAGCAATCGGTGTTTCTGTACATTCCCTACATTTAATCTAAATTCTGCACCAGCTATATTAAATGTAACAAAGAAAGGCAACACAGAAATTACGCCTGAAGCCAAGTCCATTAAAGGTACTTCAGAATAACTAGAGACCAAGCACCTTAAAAGCACCAGAAGCTATTGATACTTAAAAGGGGGGCTGTGCATAATGGCAAGTGCTGCATTAGAGAAGGGGAAGAAAAAAAAAGGAGGAAAAAAAAACCAGCCAAATTACGCTTGGTTAATTCAGAGTAACAGATCTGCCCCCAAGTGAATTGGAGGCCTTGAATTAATTCTGTTATGACAAATCAAGATAAACGTTCCCCCTAAATTGCATGCGATTTAATTAATTTTTGAGATCCTGTTTTTTTTTTTTTTTTCCTAGCTAATAGTTCACATGCTCCTGTGCTGTCATTGTGCTTGAGTGGGCAGACTTCAAAGTGATATTAAATAACCAACTATTAGATTTACCTAGCACGTCCTATTGGAAAAGTGCCATTTAATTACCTAGCCTGTTCAATTAAAGGGACAGCATTCCCTGAATATAGCAGCTTGCCGCTGATTACCAGGGAAATGAACTGGCTGCCTGGCGGCCCCCTCCCCTCCCCTGCGCGCCCCTCGGTGCGGCTCGGCCGGGTCCGGCCGCCCCCGCCCCGGGGCTGCGCCCCCGCCGCGCTGCGCGGAGCGGGCACCCGGGGAGGGGCGCCGGGCGCTGCCCCTTTAAGAGGCGCCCGGGCAGCCTCCCCCTCTCCCCCTTCCCCACCACTCCCTGCTCTCTCTTAGAGGCCAATTTTGTTAATTAAATGTTTTGTTTGCGACGCGGCTCTCATTCATTTCGGACACGTCATTCCTTGCAGATCTAAGCCAGGGACCAGATCTCATTAGATAAAACCTATCAGAACTAAGAGAAAATGGAGGAGACACTAATTAAAGCTTTTAATTGTGCGGATTCGCTGCCACGCTGCTGCTTTATCTGGCATCTTAAGGTTGGGAGGGCTGCGCTCCGCTCCCCTCCCTGAGCGCGCTGCTTGCCGTGAGGAGGGAGGGGAACGGACCGGGGTTTTCGCCTCCCTCTCTTTTCCCAGGAACCTTGGCCTTCAATGAAAGCTGCTGCTGTAGCTGTACGGCCAATTTGTGTTCGGGTTTTGGGAGCTGGCGGGGGACGGGGGGTTAAGGGGAAGGAGGAGCAGAGAGGGAGGGAAAGGGGAGTGTTGTGTTGTTTAAACAACAACAAAAAACCCCACATACAGCTTCAGACGGTTAAAAAGCTCATTAATAAATGGCCCCGTGGTCTTGGCCCGAAGGAGTCAAGTCCCTTTCACCTGGCGCCTGCTGGGCCGATCAATCCTCTTTCTCATTTTGTCAATTGTGTCTAGCATGCCCCACATCTCCGACTGAGAACTGTGCCCGTGGCTCTTGCCTGGGGAAAAGAATGTGCCACTGCAAAAGCCCTACGGAAAGGATGGCAGAAGGAAAACAGAGAGACTCGCTGTCAGATGGGTGGCAGTGCCTTCACACCTGAACACGGCCATTTCAAACAAGAAAAGGTTGAGGGCCTCGCTCATGCCAGCACGACCCAGGAAGAAGCCTGCAAAGTCCATTTCCAGCGGGAAAGCGCCAAGTTAACTCAGCCTTGGCAGGACCAGACCATCCTACCCCACCTTGAGTGTACAGTGTCCAGTTCAAGTTTCAGCAAGCATCTGTCAGAGTTATTTTTGCAAGTCAAATTACACAGATCTAAAGAGAAGTCAGGCGATGGGACAAGGAGATCAATTCAAACCCCTCATCTGATAAAGCATCCTATTCATAATCGCCTACATTAAAATGAACGAGTATTAATTTTTGGCAACACAAGACCAGAGGACTGCGATAAGCTTGCCTGAACTTGCCTCTGGGATACACTGGACGCATCTTCTCTTTTTAATTAGTAGCAATCAGACATGAGGGTTTGTTTGATGGTGCTGGTCGAGTGATGAATCTGTACTATTCAGTGCATCTTAACAGTAGTGTCAATTTTTCCACTTCAAACAAGACTCTTTCCCTAACACTGTTCTGCTCTATTTAATTACAATTCTGCCAGGCTTAGGCTTGTTGCTCAGGATGATGACCAAAAAGCACCATTAACCCCCCATCATGTGCTGATTCTTTAGCATTTCTCTCTAAAAATACCCCCAAAACTAATAAAGCTTAGGCTTCGATTCCTCAGATACCAAGGGACGTTTTATCTACCTAACTTCCCAAAGCCACGGCCATGTACCAGGTCAGAGGCTGCACTATCAGAGTAACCAAGTCTTAACTCTGTCCTCTTAGACTAAGGAGATCTCTGTGCATATGGACATTCAGTACAGTCCACATCTTCTCAAACAGAAGTCAAGTTTTACAACATAAGTAAACTTGCAACATTTGATGGCTGGTTTTGGTAGGGTTTTTTTTCAGAAAGGAAAAAAAAGAGTGTGTAAGTTTTTGGCCATCAGGGAGAAGGGAAATCCTGGGTTAACTCTTGACATTTACTGTAAACGAGAAGCCAGAAGCATTTAAACAGAACACAATTTCTTTTAACTAAGCATTTCTGTGATGCTGGGAAGGTATGGGGCTTTTCTGTTGTTTTTTTTAATTACTGAATGTTGAAACAGAACACCTCCTTGAAGCATTCATGTGCATCAGTCTATCAAACCATTTACTCAAATTAAATGTGTAATCCTTCAAAATGCCTCCTTTTAAATTAATGAGTTTAAGTAGCTTGAGTTCACCTGAAAAGATCGTACGGGCACCTGACCTCATGAATTCTTTCTATTAATTATATTGGAAACTTGTTGGAAGGGATACTCTGCATAATCTTACTGTACCCCAACAGATGTGAGATTAGTGAGGCTTAGTTCCCCCTACCCAAATCTGTGGCATTTAAAGCAAACAGCTTCAAAAGAGGAAGAGATAAGAAATAAAGGGCACAAGCATATACCTCCTCTCCTATCTCCTGCATTTTCTATACTGAAAGTTAAGAGAAATGCCGGTTCAAAGCTTCTCTGTAACAATGCGAAGACAAACATCATACCACCGGTTTTTGCTATAAGTAGAATCGTGGCCCTCCAACTGACGGTTAATCAGCTCTTTCACAAGGAGAACAGAGAATGAGTCATTCTGTTTCCACTCAAAGGAGTTTAAAGGTGCTTATGTAAATATCATAATTAATCAGATACTAAAGGCAGGCATTTCATTATTTAGCACCTCTGCCACAGCCTTATTTAAGCTCTACGATTTTAACATTTACCGTTCAGATATGCACACTTCTCCTTCAACACTACAACAAAGCAGATTAATTTAGCCTCTCTGATTGCTGTTTATTTTTAGTTAGGACTTGTTTTGTGCTGACAAACCACTTTAAAGTTACAGTCGTCGTTCCGCCTCCCCCCCCCAACTCTTCCCTCCACTTGGCAGTCGCAACTACGCCCTGGGCTAGGCGCTAACATCCGCACCCGCACGTCTCCTCGTTCCTAATGAAGGAGCGATCCTGAGCCAGCCCACCCCTCTGCCCGGCGGACACCCACGGCGAGAAATAAAGGGGGGAAAATGGAAAGATGGAGAAAAAGGCAGGGAGAAAGGGGGAAAGTGGTCCTCGACAGCCCGGCAGTCACCTCACCTGATGTAGTCGTTTCTGCAGAGGATCATCCCGCTCTTGGTGTAGCAGGAGGTGCCGATGTCCCCCAGCTGGGCCTGGCAGCAGGAGCACTTGAGGCAGCGGCTGTGCCAGTAGCTGTCCATGGCGTAGAGCAGGAAGCGGTCGGCGATCTTCCCCCCGCAGCCGGCGCACCTCTTCCAGGAGAGGGAGCCCGCCGTGACCGGGGGCGGCTGCGCGCTGCCGCCGGGGTTCACCATGGCCTGCGCGGAGAGAGGGGCGGGGGCGGGTCAGCGCCGGCACGGGACGGGACCGGCCGGAGCGGCGGGGCCGGCGGCGCTGGCGGGCCCTGCGGGGGCAGCGCCGGGCCGGGGCGCGGGGCAGGGGCGCGGCCCCGCAGCTGGCGGGGATCGGGGGGCAGAGCGAGCGCGCCCCGCCGCCCCCCCGCTCCGGGCTTGTGCAGCTGCAGCTCACAAGTCAGGAACAGTCCCAGGGTTTGTTTTGCTTATGAAAAAAAAAAAAAAAAAGTGTGTGAAGAGTGGGGGGAGAAAGAAAAAAGTTGTGAAACTGGTTTTTCAGTCTAGCAGAGCCTCCGCAGGCTCAGGGCGGTAACGAGGGGCTCGGGACCGGCCCTGTAGACCTCGAGATTTTATTTTTTTGTAGTTTTATTTTGGAGACCTAAAAACACCCAGAGAAAACACTGCTGACTGAGGAGACTGGCCAGAATAATAGATCACTGAACTTTAGGACGCCTGTTAACTTCCTACACAAACATACTCAACTTTTGTCTCGCTAATCTGCCCTTGATCAGCAGTTTAAATGCTAAAGCTTTGTTACTTAAAAAAAAAAATAAATTACCGACCCTAGGAAAGCAGCAGAGTAATGAAGTGCACCACTCCGGCTGCGGTTACTCTGGCCGCCCCCGAAACTGCTACTAAGGGCATTTTTCACTTTCTAATAAATGCTTTATGCAAGCAGGACAACCGAGAGATAATATAGGAATCAATTCATAAAGCTTACTCTAAACCGATTAATTTGTTGCCTTCAATCCAGAGTCCAATAAACTCCCGGTGTTCCTCTAGTCACTTATACTATAAAAAGATCAAGTTATTTACTGCCAATTAAGCAGCATGTTTTGTCTTTGTCCTTTGTAAGCCGTATGTGCTCATGCCGAGGCATCTGGCTATCTGCTAAGGACCTTCAGACTGATACGTCCAGAGCAGCGAGGATGAACTTTTTCTGCCACTGGCCCAACTCGGCTGCAGGAGGAGAACTGAGGCCGATTTAAACACACATTTCCTCAGAAAGAGTACCTGGAGGTATGTCCAGTGACCGCACAATAAACCAGAAGAACTGCACCAATTAAGCTGTAACAAAAACCCCGAGACTTTGGAAAGAAAACCACTCTAAAAGCCATTAGCATTGCATTTATCCGAACGCATCGTATACCTTTATGTAAATTGATTTCTGATGCATTTGTTCAAGGAATTGCCTTTTGTTACAGTTTCCAGCTACAGCCTAAATGAATCTGCATTTCCTGCTCCAAGTCTTTAAACCGTTTCCCTACGCTTTAAATCACTTCGGATATCTTAAAAGAAAGAAAAAGGCTCCATGCCACCACCTTAGCCCGTCTTTGTCGAAGGCAAATATGTATAAATATAAAATGGGAAACGTTACACTGAGAAAACCATCCAGTAACCCCATTAAGCTAAAGCTCTTAAGGACAAGCAATACCTTAATGCTGATTAAATCTAAAAAGATGAATCAAGAGGACTGACCAGAAAGTGACTCCCTTGATAACTAAGGACGGGCCCTCATCAAGTTTCATTTAGAGTTGAGGGGGGGGAAAGCTTTTAACTTAAATAGGCTTACTCTAGTAATTACACAGCCAAGCAATTTAGGTCCTGGGATAGGAGTCAGTGAAATAGAAAGCAGAGCTGGAACCTAGAGGCAAAATAACCCCCCCTTTTAACAGCGTCTCTGGTGCTTTTTTAATGGAGACCAAGGGAGGGACAAGCGGAGAGCTGGCAATTTGTAGTACAAAAATGGATGCTTAATTCATGTCTTGGTTTTAATTAGGTGATTCACCGAATTTCTCCTGGATTGAAACAAAAGACCGTGTGGGGGGCAGGAAGGGAACCGGAGAGGAGAGAAATAGAGAGCTCACTTTGATCTTTTCTGCCACTGTTTCAGAACAGTGTTTACTACGGGGGAAGCGGGTGTCCCAGCGCCCAACCCCCCCCACCTCCCCGTCCCTTCCATTCACAGACGAGGCAGGCAGAGCCCTTTCCCGGCGGTAGCTGGGAAGGGGGGTAAGGAAAGGCGCTACAGCGGCGGCCGTCGCCAGGCTTTGTACGCGGGGCCGCGACAATGCCCGGGGCGCCCCGCTCCGCGCCCCTCCGCCCGGCGGGCACCGCGCACACGAACGCTGGGAAACACGGGGGAGCGACCGGCACTTCTTACCTGCTTCCCCTCTATATTGCAAAAGGCCGGGGAGCGCCGCTCGGGGTGCCTGAAGAGGTCTCCTTGCAAAGAAATAAGCACAGCGCTCGCCCTCTCGCCGGCTGTCGGGAGCGCTGGAGGGAGCCCCCCGCCCGGCAAGGGGCAGCCCAGGCTGGAAAAATATAGATATTGCTATGAGAGGCGTCTGCCCGGGTCCTTCCTCCCGCTCCCGCTTCCCGGGAGGGGAGCTGCAGAGCTCGGTCCCCGCCGCTGAGCCGCACACGCAGGGCGCCGCCGCCGCTCGCTGCTGCAATCGCCGGGCAAGTTTGGCAATGTGGCTTCACTTTGTGCCTCTTCCCCCCCCGCCCCCCCACCTCCGCCCCCTCTCTGGGCTGCGGCGGCTCCCGAGCCTCCCGCGGCGCGGAGCCGGCCGGCCGCGGCCCGCCGGGGCGCCTCAGCGGAGCGGGCGGGAGCCGGCGAGTTTGAGCGGGGCTGGGCGCGGAGCTGCTGCCGGGATCCGGCGGCGGCGGCGGCGCTGGCGGAGGGCGAGGGGCGGCCCCTCTGCCCGTCTGAACGTGAGGGTGCGGGTGCGAGTGTGCCCGTGTGAGTGCGTGTGTGCCCGCACGGTGCGCGTGAGCCCGCTGCCCTCACACATGTGTTACTGACAGAGCAGAATCCCAACTACACTCCGGCTCGGCGCCCCCGTCAGCCCGCCGCAGCCAATCCGCCCCCGGCTTGTTCAGGCGGAATAATAAAACCTGCCAATCCCCGGGAAGACAAAGGAATGAGTGAAAGGGGAGGAAAAAAAAAAAAAAAAAAAAAAGAGGAGAGGAAGGGAGGGGGCGAGGAGGAGGAGGAGGGGAATGGAGAGGAAGGAGGGAGTCAGGTGGGCAGCTCTGGCCGCGCCGCCCGGGCGCTGAGCGAAGGCGCGTGGTCGCGAGGGCGCCGTCCGCCCCGCCCCGCTCCCTCCCCGGCCACCAGTTGAGAAACTTGGCGGCGAGGGGCCGTCCCGGCTGCCCCCGAGGGCAGGCCCACTCCGCCCGGGCCGTAGCGGCCCTCGTAGCCCTTCCCGGGCGCTGGGCGCTTCCCCCGCCGGGCCGGGGGGAGGCGCCGAGGGGAGGCGCGGCCGTGGCAGCCGCTTCTCGCCGCCTTCGTGGCGCCCCCCCCTGCCCGCGGCCGGTGCCCGCACCCCGTCCTGGGGTCCTGCGCCGGGGCGGGGAGAGGCCGCAGGGGCCGTGCCCGGCTCGTCCCGCGGGCGGAGGGGCCGTGTCGAGCCGCCGGCTGTCACACGTTTCCCCGCTGGAGCCGAGGGAGCCGCGCTGCGGGACCCAGGCGGGCACGGCCCGCTGGGGCCACCCCTGTGGAGGTTTCGGAGGGCTAAGCAGCCGCAATTGGAAGCACGGCTCATCAGCAGGGAAGTCAACAGCCCGGGGAGAAACCCGGGGCTGACGTCAAATCGGAACAAGTAATGTTCAGTGGGGACGCTTAAAACTGTGAAGAAAACATCACGCATTAAACGCACGTCTGTGAGGCCTAAGCGCAGCACACAGGATAAGCACAGCACCGAATGGCTGGAGCAGACCCCCGGAATAACAAAGTGTCCCCGAGTGCGGGTGCTGTGCCCCCGCGGCCGGCGCTGCCCGCACAGGGAACACACGCCCCCTGTCACCCCGCGCACGCGGCCGCGCTCCGCCCGGGGCGGCGGACCCCGATCGGTTCCACATTCCCGGGATCTGTGAAAGGACAGAAAAACTTCATAACAGGAGTTTCTCGATTCCAGAGCGCTGACGTCAGCAGCAGCCAATGCAGCGCTGGCCGAACGGCAGCAGCGCCCGGGCCGCGCTCGACGTGCGGCACAGCCCGCACTGCCCCGCGGGGACGGCTGGGCTGGGCTGGGCTGGGCTGGGCTGGGCTGGGTTGGGCTGGGCTGGGCGGCGCCGCCCGCGGGCACGTTCGCTACCGTGTCAGGCAAATCCGTGGTGATAGGAGCGGGACTGAGCTACGAGCCCCGTCCGTCCACCCGATGTCCGAGGCAACAAAGTGTTTTAAACCTGCTCCTGTCAGCGGCTGATGCAGACGCGGTGCCCCGCACAGGTACGCGGAACTCTTCCCGGGAGCACTTCCTAACGAGGAAGTGTCCCGGCACAGGAATGTAGCTCGCCCGCTGACAGCCCGGGTGCGCCCGGCCCGGGAGTCGCAGCCCAGGTGTGCCTTAACCACATCGCCACCTGTGGGCCTCCCGCATCCCTGCAGCCCCGGCCTGCCCGGGCACCGAGCCGTGAGCCCAGAAACGATCTGAAACGGAAAGGAAAACTGTCTACCTCGGAAAAATCTAGTTGGGAAAACGTAGGATAGTGTAAATACGTTTTGCTTCTAAATATATAGGAAATAAAATATTGAAATCTGAATGGCACCACAGGAGTGATTTAAACGCTGGAGAAAAGTCTATTTCTGTCTTTCTCTGTAGATTGGGGTATGTTCAGAGTCTGCATAAAGCGGACTGGGAGCTCATGGAAAGCTTCCAGAGGGAAAGCAGGGAGAGGACCGGTGTTGTGGTTAAAAATAATGTATTTTTTTAGCATAGGCCTATGAAATATATCATCTGGATGTAATCTCCATGTACATATTACATTTAAACATACTCAGCAGTTTTAGATTTTTTATGTAGGATCTGGTACAATTTAAAATATATAAAGTAACAAGGCATACTACAGATAATCAAAAATCACTGATATTTTAGCTCTCTGACAGCTAAGAGCACAAGAATAGAGCAAATGCCAAGCTAAAATAAAATCTAAGTTGTCTAATTATCTAAGCCTGTAATGGCTGGAAGCTACCAAATTCAGACTCTGGGAGAGCCATTAGGACCTCTGCTTATTGGAAAAGATACTCTACCAAGAAACTCTGCCATAGGCACTAAAATGTTTACTAGTCTTAAAACTGATAGTGATACAAAAAATGGGAATTACCTTCTCAAGCAACAGAGTTTTAAATGGCTTAATGATGTCTTCCAAATAGCATTACAATGTTCATATCTTTTTATGAAATCTGATCATCACTAATTTTTGTGATTAATTTTAACAGAGGAAACCTTAACTGAGAGCATTTTGCAGAGCAATATTTTTCTAATTTTTCTTTTGTGCAGCATCTGCTGTTGCTGTGCTGTCATCTTCGTTATGTTTTTCATTGTCTATGTGCCATAATGTAATTAGTTAGTTCAACATCATCTGTGCTATTAGATGAGATGTTTCTATGGTAAGTTAACATAGTTCTGTGTAATTGGTAGATTTCAGCAGTAGGCATGAATGTATCCATCAACTTTAGGTCGATTTGAGTCCACAAGATTTAAATTCACTTGGCATACGTTACCCTAGAAGACTTAATTTTGGCTGAATGGATAAAAAAACACAATGCAGAAGAAAATCTGGCTGCTTATATCGCGGTACTGTTGGAGTCAGGGAAAGGAAAGCATAAAATTGCTGGCTTAGTAGTTGCAATCTGAATGTCTGGAAAATGTTACAGCCTGTGATCCAAATCATTCTTAAACCTAGACGTGCCCCTAAGATAGCAGGTAGTCCAGAATTCATCAGGGTTATCTCTCTGTTCACGAAAGGAGTTTTGGTTCTCTCCCTAAATACTGCATTCCTTTGGGACCTCTAGGTTCTCTCCCTGCATACTTCATACCTATGGGACTCTTTTCCTTTTCTCATTAGAGAGAAATGTTGAGGCTGCTGCTTTGAAATCTTCCATGTGGTGCTTTGCTAATCCACGTGTCTTGCAAGCTACCCCTTTTGAACAAACAAACTTTTAAAACAAACTCTCTGACCCTAGTCTCTCCAGAAGCAGTGATGAAAAATCAACAGCCATTTCTTACTTTAAAGTAATGCATACTTTTACTCAACATGGAATCTTCTGGTTTAGGCCTCAAACAATTTAAAAATGTGACTGGATTAAGTATTTAAGTTCGATATCTAATGATACAGCAGAATCACATCCTCTCAGAAGCTGGGAGGAATCCTGGATGGCTTAGAGCATTCTTTTCTAAGCAGTAGACAGTACTGTTTGCCCAAAAGAGTAAGATAAGTCACTTTTAGAAATCTGTGTATAGATTTGACTTACTTATAAATACATGAGTAACTTTATGTACAATAACACAGAACCATGGGAGGTAAGCGCAGTTTGCTTAGGTAAGGGCTTGCAAGACCCTTTTATCATCACTGTATCCATAACTGAGGACAGGAGCCAAATAATATAAATGTCAGTAATTATATATATTTATATTAACAATAAAGTCCACTTTTGGAAAAGCTAAGCCTATATTTGTAATGACCTCATATGGCTAAAATTACATTCACTAATTTGTCCTGTTCACATTCCTGTTAGGAGAATAAATATATGACCACAAGACATCAGTAGGTAGCAGAAAGTCCTGCAAGTGAGTTCTGCAACTAAATCAAAGATATCACAGTTTGTAATTCTATGTCATTTTTGTTTCAAATTGAGAATCTCTAGAGGCCTCTAGGAATATGCATATGTGATAATAAGTTCACTACATAAAAAAATCTTAAAATTGGAAATACTATATCAATTTTGAAAGAGGGTTTTACATTCCACAATCTAATAAAATAAGACATTTTAAAAGCAAACAAGTTAAAATTAATTTGATACTCTTAAACATGTACTGACAATTGATTTTTGTGATGACATATCTGTATAGTGATATTTTGTCACAAATATGAATATTTTTATGATTCATATGTATTCATCTTTAACAAGGAAAAAACCCTTTGACTTACAAATATAAACTCATATAGAACTTACCCTTTAAGGTAAAAAATGTTTATTCACAGATACTTTTATAGAACTGTCATTAATATGTTGCCTCTATTCACTAATCACTTTAACAAATGGTCAGATTAGAGAGTGGGACAGCACAATTTGGTTGTTTGAAGGCCCAAATTGTAGATAAAAGTAGCTATGGAGCTAGTTTAAATTTACCATACAAAAAAGATCAACTGGAAAGGAATTGAAAAAATAAAAATCTGCCTCAATCAACTGACCGAAATGTGCTTACCTAATGCAGAGGTACATATTTATAGCACCATCATTTATGCAATATGTTACAATGAAAAATGAAAACTTAGCTCAAGCCTGTATTATTTAATTAATTAGCCAAATAACCTTAAATATGCAGAAGAAATTAGTATTATGCCTGAGTGAATAAACAGCATGTTTAATATTTTTGATGATGTTGTCCACACAAAATACATTTATAATTGCATTGAAATTATTTTCAATAAGATATGTGTCCAGTAGCAATCCTGTGTCGTTAGACTATCTGTATGAGTGTATCCAGGAAATGAGTTATTTACCTGTAACTCATCGCTATGGAGGAGTACATCTGATATCCCTGTGAAGCTCCCATAACCTCTGAATGATGTAATTCACAGAAAAGTCCACGAGCAATGTTTTCCACCTGTTTTATACCTATGCACAGAGAAGACCTGGTTTGGGCTATAGTAAACCAATGGAGGAACATTTGCTCGAGCTGTTTTCTCTGTAAGCCTTGAGGGGATGTTCACAACCTAGAATTTCATGGGGTTTTGCTCTATGATACATCATCAATGGGAAGGCACAGTTTTAGCTAATACGTCTTGATGTTTGTAGTGACTCTTTCTGATGGAAATTTGACATTGGCCATTGTTTCAAAAAGCTGAGAGAAAGCAAGGTATGGACTGAGAACTGAGACATGCACATAACAGAGATCCCCTTAAGTTGTCTTTTTAATTTAAGAGCTACCAGCACAGTTTAAGAAAATGGAGGGCTACAAAAATAAAGAGGAAGAGCAGCCTGGTGACTTGCATCTGGCGGAAATGCCTCTATCATATTTGATTTGAAATTTACATAGATGCCAGGAGTTATGACACAACTGTCACTTTAAGTTCACTTAACTGGACATGAAACAATAATGACAAACAATCAGAATGACAGTTCTCCTTCTATTCTGCAGTGAGGTTCTTCATATCTCAATTCTGCAACATTCCTTCTGCTCTCTCCGCCAGACAAATGTTATGATGCTTTCTCTGTTTGAATCGACGCAGCCTTGCTGAAAGCAAGAAGAAGAGTTTCTAAGCTTTCTATTCAGTTTTTTTAAGCTCTACCATTTATCAAAGAGTTTCTTAGTAACAGTTTTTAACATTAACTCTTTAATAGTTACTTGAGGATGTAATCCATTATTTGAAAACATTGTATTGCGTAAGAATATTACATAATTTTTCATACAAAAATATAGCTCTCTACTCTTCTTGTTTTTCAAAACTGGAGCGACTCCTGTACTCCATGACCATAACTCTTTTTATCATTCTACTATGATTCAGTAGCTTTTGCTGTCTTATAAACAGTCTTACAATTAAGAGCTAATGTTAATGGAATAGATTGTTGTCATAGTATAATGGTTTCCTGCTGCTAGATAAATGCTGTGGCAATGCTAGGACATTTATTGAAAGTAATAGTGAAGACAAAGCTAAGAGATTTATTTTTAAAGCAGGTGCCACAGATCCAGTGACACCATTCTGTTACAATTGTTTTATTTCTATTTCACTACAAGGCTGATGAAGATGGAAGCATTTTGCCTGATGTATGCAAGTGCAGCAAAGTGACAGTGGCTTATTTCACTGTAACTGAATAAGCTGCATTGCACTTGGCTCGGGAGGAGATTTATTGTGTGGCTCATCCAATCAGAAAACAGTTTATCCATTAACTATGGCTTTAAAATATGTTGTATTTCCATGAACAAGATGGGGCTTGATGCTTTCTTTCACAGAAACAGTTAGGCAGAGTTCACAGAAAAGGAGGAAAGTGGGGCCCTACAGTGCTTGCACCACCAGTCTCTTCCAGAAGCCCCACTTCCCTCTGTGCCACGGGGACAGCAGGCTGGGGAGAGTGAACCTGTCCATAGCCTGTTCCCCTCCTCCTGAATCAGTGGTTCCTTGTCTCCCTTCTGCATTGGAGGAGGGTGTTGCCTCAGTGTTAGCAGAGCAGAAATGCAGTGTTATTCTTATCAGCAGTGCTGTGCAGAGGGTGGAAAGTTTTTGTCTCATTTAGTGTTTCCTCTGTCTTTGCATTCACAGAATCTTGACGTTTTGAAAAGTATGCCTTCTTCCTTTTCTATGACTTTTAAAATTGCTCACCCCTAAATCCTCCAACAGAGAACTGTGAAAAGCAGAGCTTGTAGAACTTCATAGGCTCTCTTATCTGCTCTTGTAGAATTGTAGTAAAATACCTTGATTACCCCAAATATCTAGCTCCTACAAAATTGGGATCAATTATCAGGAAGTACGTGGGATCCATTCCATTCAACAAGCTTTCTCTGGACAGATATGCCCTATTTGCCTGACTTAGGCTTCAAAAGATCCTTTGTCTTTTCTTTTGAACTGTAGAGCAGCTATTCCAAGTGGCAGGGCTGTAGCTATGACAGCTTGAGGATATTCCACAAATAATAAAAAACATGATCCCTTCCCACAAACTCTGATCATTCCAAAGCATCTTTAAAGTTATTTTGTAAAACAGTGTAATGACTTTATATAACTATAAAGTCTCTGCTAGGATTTCCTTAAGAAACAAACTAATTTTATTATTAAGGCCCATGGACCTTGACATCATACCAGCAATTCACTGCTCCAAGGACTTATTCTCTGTAGCTGCTCACACCACAGCTCTGAATTAACTTCTAAGACCAGAGCTTGAAGGCAGTAAACAACTTTAACCTTTTCTTGACCCCAGACACATCTCTCAAACAGGAGTTCAGTAAATGCATAAATTTCACTTCAACCCATGTGCAGACATTCTGAGAACTAATTCATTCTTCATTTTCTGAGTTTTAAGAAAATTTTTATACTAATAAATGGGCAAGTGTTACAGCACTTGTTCCAAAGAGCCATCAGATAAGGTTAGTCCTCTGCTGAGTGTAGCTCCTTATGAAAGGCGAGCCCCAGAGAGAAAGAACATCATAGAGAAAAGCAGAAATGGGAGAGACTGTAATCCCAACAGAATGAATCCTGGCAGCCGTGAGGTCTGTTGGGTCATCTGAAGAGCACTCTCCAGCAAATACATATTCTTCCAACTAAATCTCCACAGCAGCAGCTGTGTATCAGACCTCAGACCTCATCTTCTAATGGTTGTGCCTTCTGGTATCAATCTCCTATCTGAAGTTTAGGATTCACAGGAACAATCTAGGAGACGGAGAATTTTTGCATCTTTAAAACACTGGAGTCTCTTACCAAAGTATCTTTAAGGATATGACTGTAAATATTGTAAAGTCCTGTGATTTTATCAAAATATTTGGTGTATCTGTTTAAAGTCCCAATTCTGGAAATGGTCTAAATACAAATCTGCTTTAAACCTTTTTAATAGAAATTTTGAGTCTTCCTGGTTAGGTAAAAACATTCATTCTTAAAGATCAACCAGAGACAAATAAAGATAATTTGTTCCCATTTAGTATTTTATTTAAAAAATGATTCTTCATTTGATCTAATAAATAGTGAGGAATCATGACTTTCGAATTTTTGGGATTGCCAGTACAGTAACCAAACGTCCTATCACCACATATTGAACCTGCCCAAGGAATCCTCCTCAGTTCAAGGAATTATTAAACCTATTTTTTCAGTAGGTTTCTCCACATCACACAGGACTGCACATAATCAATATTTCACTTCCATACCACAGATTGCCCCCTCCAGAGGGCCAGAATTCCCCATGGCAGTTATCCTATCTTAAACCAAATCCCCAGCCTCTTGCAGCTCTCTTGACTAAGGCAGCTGTGTATACCCCGCCTGGATCTGGCCCAGATGCCTTATTTCTATTGCATGAGATGATTAATTATGTGGTTTTTCTTCTGTTTGTCTGATAGACGCTGAGGTAAGAGAGTGATGGTTGCTTAGTGCACTATTATTAAAAAGCTGCTTTTGATAGCCCTGAACAGGCTTGAGTTGTGTGCTACAGCTAATCATAAAGCTGCTTGCTTGGAAATGTAATGCTTGTTAATACTATACTGTACTTTTATAAGTAAACGAATTTTTGATTGGCTAGAGTTTAACTATAATCAGTAATTAAGGGTCAGCCATCCAGTAAACTCATTAGTTTACACCAATTACATTTGGTATAGTAACTAATGATTTCAGGGATCAAGCCATTTATTTCTAAGCTTTCAAAGTATAATTATTGTGTAAATCAGATAGAGTGTAAATCTTTTCCATACGTTTTGGTTGGTAATTGAGAAATAAAATGGTTTCCAAATGTATTCTCTGTCCAGTTTTTGTTCTGCAGTAGATCTCTCTGGGGACTCTTTAAAGTATATGGAAAAGGTGATGTCAACAGAAGTGTACGCTGGGCAAACTGAGACAGGATTAATTAATAGAGATGAAAGAGAAAAGCCAGCCCCTTGCAAATCGTGGTCCAGGCCTCAACTTGGACATCACACCTTAAATGACAGTTTACAATCTTAAGCATGAGTCACACAGATTGACAAGTATTCAAAATAGAAGAGAATTAAAAATCCTTTCTGTTTAATGTATAAAGGCCTTTCCAATATGCAGTCTTTAAGATGGTGTAATCTCTGGAGCCTTTTGCTTTGAAGTTTAATATGTAGCTCCTCACATCCACATAACATTTTCAACACATTAAACAAATTAGTCTCTGGTTACAGAAGTTTTTAGACATTTACAAGTTGCCGTTTAACTAAATTTAATATGTGCCAGCGAAGTTGCTCATACACTTGTTCATTTAGAAAAATGCACTTTTCGAATGATTAATAAATAAACCAGCCTTTCCTATGCCTTCAACTTTGGTGTTTATTTGAAAGCAATCTACTTTAAAAAGACATTAATATCCCTAGAATTATTATTAGAATAATTGCTTTTACTCTTCTCGGAACACACATTTTTTCTCATTTCCCTTCAGCACAGAAAGCTTTTGACTCAGATATAAACTTCCTATTATTATTCCCCACTCCCCACCCCAAAAATGAAGAATAGGAATTATACACTTTTCACTAAGGAATAATTAATTTGTCTCAAGTATTAGAACAGAGAATTGTAGGATGACTTTGAATGGTAGTCTCTAAGGAATAGCATTGTTTGTTCTCTTCAGTCTTTAATGAGCTTTAGTAAATGGCCAGGAAAAATTACCTTCTTTCTGTAATATGAGAGTAGGGAAGAATGAAGGAAGCTATAGAATCCCTAGGAGAAAGATGAGCAGACACATACACACACAGCCCCCTGTACCACATTGCTTCCAATGGTTAGTGTTCTCCTTTGGAACTGAGCACTAGAGCTCGAGTTTTCCATTACAGTAAAACATATAATGTCCCTAACATTTTTGTAGGAGAAAAAATTCCTGGATGTCTCCCACACACTGACAGTGTCTGGCTTATGTTGGGGGACAACTGCCTATAGCTGAGCTCTGGAAGTCATTCTGGCTTCCTCTGCTTTGGCATTGACTTTGTCTTTTAAGATTTCTTAGTCTATTTTTGTTGCATTTCCACCTTGAAAAGCAATTTCCGTTATAGTGCCCCAGCCTGCTGCCCTGTCTTTTAAGACTTCTTTTCCCTCCACCACATATTTTCTGCCACTGCTTTCCAGAATGATAACTGAGGCAGCAGTGGCAGGTGCTTGTTTCAGCTATGACTACAAGCCCATTGCCATGGATAACAGAATATACTTCAGGAACACCTTTTCCATCCCTTCCCTCCCACCCAGTCTCCACACATGTCCTCACTACCTAGTCCCATATCAAGTCAGTGGTGCTGAGGCAGCTGCCATTGCTGCTCTGGGGTATTGAGCGAGCTGACCCACAGCAGTAAAGAGAGACTAGCACAGTTCTAAAAGGATCTTGTCAAGCAGGGTCTCTCTCCAGTCCATCCTGTTGAAGTTGTTCCAGTTTGTATGGAATAATTAAATACTAACAGGATTGCCCTGTGTGCTTGCTCTCAGAGCACTGCTGAAAGCAAGAAGCCCGGGGTTTGTTACCCTCTTTCAGAGAACACTTCCATACTTTGTATTAAGTATTGACTGGGGCAGGCCCTGGCAGTCGTGGTTTCCCTGTTCCAGGTGAGGTGAGTGCCTCCACTATGAGGCTGTCAAGTCAAGCTCAAGCTTTTCCACTTGAAGAAAGGACTCAGGTCACCTTCCTTACAGAAGAGTAGATAATGTCTTGGGTAAGGTGCTAATTCAGGGTGCAAGAGATTCAAGTTCAAATTGCCTCGGGCAGAGGCTGAATACAAGTCTCCTGTATCTTGGCTAAATTGCACCAGCCAGGAGATTGAACCGCAAAAGCTTGGGAGAGGAAGAGGGGCAGAGGAGCAAGGAGGAGAGACGTGCAGAAGGTGACAGCACTGTCATTATTTCGTGAGAAAAACCTGGCACAGGTGTCCAATTCCTAGAAAGCGGCAGAGCAAGCGTGGTAAGTAGGTAAAGCAACACATGGTGTTACAACACCTTAGTCTGATTGTGGCTTTGGATCATGGGAGGCACTCTCATGGCAGACATCAGATTGCTGACTAGAGTTCAGGGTCACGAGGGATGTGAAGAGAGATGATGAAAGTGGGGAGAGCTGCCTGGACCCATCCCAGACATTTAGGGAAAAGATAAAAGTAAAAAGCTGCTGCCAAAGTAAAAATAATTTCTCTCTATCGCAGGCTCTCTTCAGTGCAATTGTTAGAGAGGAATAACTGGAGAAAGATGTTTGAAAGATAAATAGGAGACAGTGAGAACAGGACTAGTAAGTGAGACAGAAATGTTGGAAAGAAGACAAAGAGGAAGAAATGTCAGAAAGCAACAGGAGGGTTGGACAAAGAAAAAGGAAAAACCATAACTTACCAAGATGCTTCACCTCTCATTGCCTCAATCTTCTGGCAATAAAATAATAACAGTAAGAGAATCACAGAGCATTTCAGTGTCTTTGAAGCCCATAAATATTTAGGAGACAGTTAAGTGTCCTAGTGATCAGGATTGTGTTAAGAAGAAAGCAGGAAAATTTAAGAGAATGTTCTGACTTGTCTAAAGCAGTGCTATCAGGGAGAAGAAAAGGAACAGGACTTATGTGCTTAATTTTGTATGTGTAACTGAGTATTAAAATCCACACCCAAGCACACTGGTGCTTAGTAGAAAAAATTGGGCCCGTTTCAAACCAGTAAGAACACATGGTTTAAGGCATGCAGCCGCTCTTTCTTCACTAACAACCCACTGTGACTCCTATAATTTATTCCTCCCAAGATTCATTTGAACATCTGCAGTATCATTATTTGAGTTTGTTATACTATTAGCTTTAAAATTTTATAAGCCATACAGTAGGATAGGTGACAAGTTGAAAAGTTAAGGAGGGTTAATTTAGAAGTTTTAAAGCGAAGCTATTTTTGAGTTATACAAGCAAAAAAAGCATCTGAATCCAAACCTCCATGGTTACATTTAAGTAACTCAGAAACTGCTGAAAGGATTTTCTTCGAACTTCACTCAAGACAAATCCCTCTGGGCTAAGACCAAGCATAAGAATTTAACTCAAAAGGTGATTGTTGTCTGAAGGGAGTTTTCTTTTTCCTTTTTTTCCCCTCCCCTTCTTTTGCTTGTTTTGTTTCCAATGTTCCAAAAAAAAAAAATAGCACTGAAAAAAAAAAAAAGGATGTGGAGTGTAACTGTTTCATATCCATTTTACCATTATAATAAGAAAAATGCTGCTCACAAACTACGTTTTTATTAAAACCAGACCCCCTGCTTTGCCTTTAGCCATTACTAGTAGTCTTGGTACCCACCTCTACCAGGCATTGGATAATGCTGTAACTGGTGGCTCATGCTTCAGGAGCTCTGTGCAGCTCTAATACTACCCTAAATGGACAACTGAGGATTCCTCTTAAGAGGAAGTCTTAGGAGAGCAGACATCAGCAGCTCTACAGCACTCTTCCCTTAGCTTCCCATCCCCAGTTCATGGGAGGTGAAGCATATTCTATACCTGTAGAGTGACCCAAACCATATTTTGATTTCTCACTGCTCCAGGATTTGGAAGGCAGGAAAGATAGCTGTAGTCATGCTTTTCTTGGCTCACTGACTGTTAACTTGGTGCATCTGGCACCATCATTCGTTCTTGCCCTTCCCTTGCTGCAGCCAAGGGACTTACCTCCTAGTTGTGTAGCTGAAGGAACCTGAACAATGAAGATGGAAATTTCTATCTTCTTTCTCAACATCCTTGAAGTCAGTCCTCTTTCATATCAGCATCATGGGTCCTGGTAGCCTGATTGTCTGGATTAAGAAAAAAGAGTGTGGATTTTTTTTCCATCCTCTTTATTTCAACTTTCTACCACACTTTGGTTTCTACAAATTGTCCCAGGGAAGACAAGAGCCTTTCCCTCCCCCTTCTACCAGGCTTGTTTTTGATTCTCTGGCAGCACGTCCCATAGTTATTCACTCATTTGTTTGTTTGTTTTTCCATTTGCAACTTTTGCCCCCTCAAAAGAGCTGGCTTGCCCAGGGAAATTACAGTAACTTATTTAATTTCAAATGCATTCAAAAAGGCATTTTAATTGTTCCTTTTCATTTAGAGCAGCATCCAGATTTGGAATTTGTGAAAAACTGAAGGAGAAGGTTTGGAATATATTTGCTGAAATAATTCACCACATTTTGCTGAAATAATTCACCACATTTAACCTAGGGAACTCAGATATATGTGGAAACAGCTTCCCTTGCCTATCTTCCATATACATGACCTGGATTAAAAACTGCTTTGGGCAAGGGCCAACTCATTGTTTGTGGTCCTAACACAATATGGCTTGCAAACTGTGGCAATACTGTAATACCTAGGGATTTGTTTCAGGAGATCCTGATTTTGAAACCAAAATACATGTTTCCTGATAACTGCTAACTGAACAGCGGGAAATATAGCTGAAATGGGCATAGAGAAGAGCATCAGGAATTCAAAGTCTGAAATTCAGTTCTCCTTTATTTTCATTTTGGGGAAATCTACTGTGGCAAAAGAGAGAGGCCTTAGAGTGGGTATCAGGATGTGGTAGCCTACAGAGGGAGGCAAATTTTGGCAAACATCAGAAAAAAAAAAACAAGAAAATTTTTAAAAATTCAAATCACAATATTTAAACAATCAGAAAGCTTTTTCATTCATAAATGTCCCATCTACTCTGTACCACCAAACTTCTGGGGTATCATTTTTCAGTCAGCACTTGGCAGTCAGCACTTTAAGCTGTCTGCTGCTATCTCATTCATACAGCTTTTTCATTGCAGGTCAATATTATCTGACTAGGTTCAGATTAAATCTTAATATACCGTTCATCTGAAAAAACCCAACTCCAAGCACATTGAAAAATTGCAAACATAAACAGTACAGTTTCCATGGATGAGGACATATTAAAATGTATTTTAAAGGGAAGAGCAGCAGGAAAAAGAGGAATATGAAGTTACGATCATAGCGGAGAATGCCCTTTTTCAGCTGGGATTTTATGTAAGAAGGAGAATGAATGAGGCAAAGAGAAAAAAGCTCTGTCTCCTCACTGCTGCTTCTCTAGCAAAGAAGATTTTCACATCAGACACAGTAAAATCAGACAGAAGAATAGCAGATCTGAATATTGTATGGGAAGGTGGGAAATGAGGAAGAGTTCAGCGCAGTTCAAGGATGGCAAGGTATAGTGAAGGCAAATGGAAAGAGCTGAAACTGGAAGAGATGAGCTGATGGAACCTAATAGCAAGACACAAGTTTAATTAATAAAGACAGGCAGAGAAAGCTGAACAAAGAAGATTCATTTAAAATGTCAAAATATACCTTTAGTTGTGGCTGCTAAGGTAAAAATAAAGGTAATATATGTAGAAAACCCATGCAAGTTGAGGGGTGCAAGACTGAGTTCAAGGATGGGAGTGCTGAGAAGACCTGAGACTACAGAGAAGCTCCTCTAAGAGAGGAGCTAGTGTTTATTGCTGCCTTCCAAATACCCAACATACTGCTCCATTAGCAAAAGAGATCACAAATCACCTCCTAATTTGTTTAAATTAAGCCAGCCAGATTCATTTCACCTGGTGATGAAGATGGATATGAGCTAACCAGGCTGGCTTTACTTGTAGTGCATTAGGGAATGCTTGCTTGTCCTCTTCTGATGGCAGAGATATGGGAAGGGACCAGGGGCAAGCAGCAAGCTGTGGTGTGGTTTTCAGCTAGTAAATGGTGTCTAAAGGCAGTGGGGAGGATATTTATTTGGTCTAGGAGAACACATGAACATGTAAGACTGGAACCAATACAGATGTGTGGAAGGATGCAAATTTCTTAAGTTGAATAAAACTCAAGGAAAAAGTTATCGTCAGCAAATCAGCAAGAAAAGTTCATCTCTCTACATCCCACTGATACGAGTAAGGAACACTTGCATCAAGTGAATTGGTACAGTTAGGAAGCACACCAAAAACTGAGCATACCCTTAATTTACCTCTACTATCCAGAGTGGTTCTGTTCTCCAAGATAGGTAGATCACAGGAAGTTTGTTTCGCTTCAGCTATTGTTGTAACAACTCAAAGACAGAGACCAAGAATTTTGGTTGTGAAAGTGTAGAGATTTTAGAAACATTAAAATAATGTGAAACTGAAACATGGAAATATTCTCTGTAGTGCACCCTGGGTTGTTCCCTGTAATTATAGCTGAGAATCACAAATCAACATTCTGTTGAGAGACCACCCCTTCTGTATTTTTAGAGATACCGAAGCTCTAAAACCTTTGCCATTACTTTTATATGTATCTTCTGTGTTATCATTTATATTGAGGCTCTTAATATTTGACTCAGTAGGCCTTATGTTGTTTAGTTCTCCACCATTTATTTCCTTATTTTGGGTGCCTATCATTCACGTTTCTGTAAAGTTCAGCTGAAACCAGTAGTTCACGTTACTGGCACTTTGCATTGCAAAAATTGAGAAGTAGAATTTGCAATCCAAGTCATTCACAGAACATTCTTATACAGCACATAATTTGCCAACAGCTAAATTAATCTTGCTTCACAATGTGAGGCTGTGTACATGTGGTTTTTGATACAAAAGGGTCCAGAGAAATCAATGGTATAGGCATCATATTAACTCAGAACCAGCTTTTTCATGTCCATGAAGCTTAGTCATGTGCTTGCTAATTTAGAACTCAAAGGTAAGCAAGAATCTCAGCTCTCCTTTTTAAACAGTGTGAATTTTCAATCCAATTTACCTTGTGTAGATGAAAACATAAATCAGTAGCTGGTCTCCACTGCACATACTAATTTAATGAACTGGGGCTTTGACCACATGTGTATTTACACTTTGGGAACCTGAAGACCTTTCTGTACATACTGCATTAGGTTTGGATGCATGCCAAAGAACTATCTATAATCTGAAGGGAGGGGGGAAAGGCAGCCTGGCCCACCAGTTAGCACCAGGGTCTAGAACAAGGGTATGAGACGGGTCAGGGGTCAAGCACCATCCATAACCTCCAACCAACGATCAATGGAAGCAATGCAAGTGCTGCTGCAGTAGCACCACGCCCCAGACAGAAGCCCCAAAGCATGACCCAGGACAATGTCTGGGGTCACCATAGCTTAGCTGAAAAGGGTTGTATCCAGTACAACACGGATGATCTGGAAAAAAGCTCCAAGAAGAGGGTGTCACAAAAGTTTCCTCAGACCTACATTTTAGCTCATTGCCTGTTGTACTACAAAACAAAGCACACTTGGGGGTTTTTCAAAAAAGGTGTGTAATGAAAAGTCTGTCAGAATGCAAAATGAAGTTTATGGTAACAGACAGAGAATAAATATTCATGCACAACCATCAAGCCTGCTTTGGCACCAGTCACATTGGGTGACTTCTGTTGACTTGACAAGTCTGTGACCTGAAACACAGACTCCAAAGCAGCAGTGTCTCCTCAGCTCCTGTCTGCTCTTTGCCTTGTCCCAACAACCATTGACTCAGAGGGATGAAGCCTCGCACTAATCATTCTCAGACTTCAATGTGAGTCCATTCATCAACAGCTCCCTTCTGCAGAACTAGTCTAAACCAATTCTCTTCATGCACTTGTCCAGGCAACAACACATCCACTCCACAGTTGTTTCAGATGTGCAAAACATTGAAAAGAGACTTCTCTGAGCAGATGTTCCTGAGCAGATAATCTCAAAAACGTGACTACAAACATCAGGTGTCTTTGGCTTCACAGAGAAGGCTGAGGTAAAGCTGGGAAAAAGTAGAATAAAGGCAATGGGTAGGGGTAGAGTATAGAAAAACAAAATGTTGCTGGAACATCAATTCATCATAGATTGCAAGACACATTCAGGTAGGGCTTCTACTGGTCACCCCTGGTTATGGTTAGACTCCTCCCTCTACTCTAATACCAGAATTAAAGCTGTCAGATTTTGCTTAGGTGCCAAAGGAGAAAGGAAATTATATTAACCTTCTCTGTGAATCTGAACAACAGAATTAGTAATGATCTTTACACTTGAAATTTATTTTAAAAGTGTATTTAGCTTAGTTTATCAGATCACGCTTATTAAAAAATCAAAAATTAGAAGTTCTGTGATGTGAGAACAAGTTACACTGCGAATGAAAAAGTCAGCACATCCCCAGCCTATGGGATGGGAGGGCCATCTGCTATCAACATTTAGGAAACATACTTTGAGTGGAAAGTTCCAGCCTCAGGCTTTGTTAAGAGTAATTGAGTTTAGCTCTTAAGATCTTGTTCTATCCATAACTCTAGCTCAGAGCATCTCAAATCTAAGCTTTGCCAAGGACTCCAGTGCACTGCCGTCAAAAGGGGGTAGTCCTGTATGCTGGGGTCTCTTGGTGGAGTCATGCTGAAAGCAAAATAACTTTGCACAGGCACAGGAATTCCTGCTGTCAGGTTCCAGATCATAGTATAAATAAAGCTTGTCCAGAAAACACACACACAGGTTTTCTGCCTTGATGAAAAGCCAGCAGAAACAATTTGATTATATTTCTTTCTCTCTTAGCTACACAAGTGTCATTATTTTTGCATATTTTCATTATGCAAAGTCACATTGGACCCAACAGTGTAAGTATCCCCTTCATTCTGCTGGTGTTTGGCTTCTTATTAGAAATGTTATCAGAAGGTAAACACAATGCACAGGAAGGTTTGCTGCAGAGTAACGAGGTTTTAATACCATACCACACCATGTCGACAACTCAGAAATGTTTTAAGAGGGTAAAACTATTTTTGGTAATTACAAAGAAGCTGAAAGGAAAAGCATCCCCTCAAGCTGACAACATACATTTTATACAGAAAG